ATTTTTATGTCCTGTGCACCCACAGGCTCTAGATAAATAGATGATACCTCCAGTACATAGTTTTTTTCAAGGAAAAAACTTGGCTGGAAATGGTAAATTGAAGTATTATACCCCAAATCTTTCACATGGTATGTTTTCTTGTGAGTAATCTGTTGCTTGCCTTTACATTTCCAGTGATGTCAGAATCATAAAATGAGGTGAGAGGAGGCAAAATGTGTCAGTAGGGCGCTGACTGAAGTCATGCGGTACCCAATTTGTGACAAACCAGTAAGTTCATTCCAGCCCAAAGTGTTGGTCGGGTCTGGAGGATATGTGTGTCTTAAACTGGACACACTGTGAACACCCAGAAACAGCGCAGCAGTTGGGAGTCAGCTTCCAACGATCCTTGCCAGTCAGCTCCCAATTATCCATGACCAGATTATCTGGTTTATGGGTCATCCGTGCTAAGGGACCAAGGACAGAGTGGGAGTTACAGGTTTTACTAGGCTGGGCTCCATGCTATCTGACATAATCCGTACTGTTTCTTTACTACCAGCTCGGATCTAGAAAGACTGGTGCTGAGCAGGGACAAGTAAGTCCAACGGGACCCAAGACACCTTTCTCTCAGAAGCACCAGGATGTTGCCACACCGTGATCCCTCACGCCAGTATCACTGAAAATTTTCTGTTGGTGGTGTCATAGCAGAGAGTGCCGTAAATCTCTTTCTTTCTTGGTGACAATACACGTACATACAAATGTATAGTAAAATGTGTTTTAAAGATTGACTTTGCCTTCTGGTTGTTAACTGTCACGAGCACTCACAGAAGGGAACTTTCTTCACAGAATGTAGCAGATATTAAAAAACTGAAGTCAGTTGGGATCTGCACGATCAAAGGAATCCAGATGACCACAAGACGGGCACTGTGCAATGTAAAAGGGCTTTCAGAGGCCAAAGTGGACAAGATTAAAGAGGCCGCAAACAAGCTTATTGTAAGTCAGTCACTTTCCTGATGGTTTAAACTTACGCTGGCCTCTCCAAAATGCTGTGCAACACTTCCCTTAACAGATATTTTCACCACATCACCAAGATAATTTTGCAAATTATTCTGCTCGTTACTCTAAAGGAATAATACTTTATACGCTACAACAACCAGCCAAATGCTGTGGTGCTTTTCATAGCCAACCTGTCTAAATGAGGCTAGGATGGAGAGAATGTATTTATGTGGAATATTGCACTTTGCCTTCAGGTTAAAGCTAAAATAAACCTCACGTTCTCTTTGGTCTTCCTTAGGAACCAGGCTTCCTGACTGCCTTCGAGTACAGTGAAAAACGGAAGATGGTATTTCATATCACTACTGGCAGCCAGGAATTCGAGTAAGCTGAGCTCTACTTAAATCCTTCCTTAGTCCCAACTGTTCCAGTAATCATATTTATTGCCTTTAATGAGACGCAAAACCATAAAGGAGCAAATAGTCAGCTCGGGACATGCAGGTTACCTTGCATTTGGAGCTGGTGCTGGCTCCATTAGGCCTGCATCAGTCAGCAACAAAACCAAACCCTTTTCTGAGGGGAAACTGGACTTTGTACAGTCACTGTGAATAAACAAGAGTTTGCATCCAGAAGTCCTGAACGTATCATCATTTTTTCACCTAGTCAAAACAACTGGCAGGTCTCAGGTCAAAACGACAGGTCTTTGAGACCTCCCCTGAGATATTTTTATGGTATGATATCTTTTCAAAGGTATTCTTTCTTTCTTTCCAGTAATAATTTCTATAGATCTTTCTCTTGCACGCAGATAGGAAGGTTGAGACAAGAGTTAATTCTTTATGAATCAGTGATCATTTAGTGCCCTGCACTTAATGCATCAAGTGAGGGGCTTTAGGGCAGAAATAACTTTTCTTAAAGTAGCAAAAAATTCTCTTTTTTACTTCCCTTTTGTGATTTTGTGGGTTTAACTATATCATAATCCTCTCCCTTTCTTCAGTAAACTTCTAGGCGGTGGGATTGAAAGCATGGCAATCACTGAGGCCTTTGGAGGTGAGAAAATCACATTAAATGAGTATTACTGAACAAAGAACTGCAACTTGGTTTAGATTTTAAATCAAGCTGGATTACTTCTATCAAACTTAGCACATTGTAGTCATAAAGGCGAGAGTACCTGCATGAGGGTAAGAAGAACGAATTTACGTCTCTTTTAGGTTTTTTCCCATTTTACCTCTTTATTTGCTTGCAGACTAAGTTTCAGCTGAGCAATCGTTAGACTTGGGGCACGCTGATTCAGTACAACATAGCGTTAATAATACTATTACTAACGTGTCATACAGGAAAGATTTCCCTGATGCGCTCTGTGTTCCCTTCCGGCAACAAAACTGCTGCAGAAGATATTTTATTTATGCACACCTAGGATACGTTGCATTTCATGCAAGATTTTTGAAATCACAATTAAGCTACCATTATAGTAAATGTGATCAGTTGGTGGTTAACACTTCAACAACAATAAGAGTTCATAAAACACAGCACTCTTCCCCTCAGAAAAGATAGACTGCAGACTGACATGATTTGGTACAATGAGATGAGATTAATAAACTCAAGCTTCTCCTTGATCGTTTTACTAAAAATGAAACTAGGCCAGGTCAGTGGAACCAACCATTTCTTCCTCCCTCTCCCTCAATTAACACTTTTCCACAGGTGCCATGTGGTTTTAACTTCTACGCAGAAAAGAGTAAATGTATGATTTATAAGTAAAAGTATGATTTATAAATTGGGGTTAAATGATTTTAAAAGGTAGAGACAGAGGTGAATTTTGTAAGTAAGAGTGTTTCTAACTGCAGTAACTCCTGAATCTGGGAAAGTCACACAAAGAAACCCTGACCTTTTTTTTGTTGTTGTTTTTGTTTATTTAACAGAGTTCCGGACAGGCAAAACCCAGCTCTCTCACACCCTTTGTGGTAGGTGCACTACCTTACAACAGACAGCTGTTTCTTCTTCCTTCTTTACAACTATATCAGAATTAAACACATAGAGACAAGTTAGAATCTTTTATCTCTAGAAATACAGTAAAACAGACCTCGGTGACTCTTACCTCCATTAATTGTCTTTGAGCAGAGAACTCTTATGACTGATTACTTTTTAGTACAGCTCACATCAATGTAATTTTTGCCGTAAGGAGAGAGAAGATAATAGACTGTCTTGGAGAAACCAGTGAAACACACCAGGTGGAAAAGCAGAGCACAAATATGGGTTACAGGTGGACAGGGGCATTGCTCAGAAAAGGGCAAAGGCAAGATTCTTTCTCAGCAGCTCTTCTAATTTCCTCGTTTCAAGAGGTTTTGCTGAATTCTGCATTCTGAAAGAGCGCTGAAAGGATACCACTGGCTGACAGCAACCGGGTAAACAAAGACTTTGGCAGTCACCGTATTTGGGCAGTGCCAAATGCAGCAGGACTTTGATTTCCTGGTGATCTCTCTCAATGTGTAAATAGTAGTAAATAATAACTAATGTAACTATTAATGCTGCTGGAATATAGTTACCAGGCACTGGGTAGGCAAACATTCCCTTAATTCAACCCTATCTCATGACACTTTCTGAAAAAAATAAGGCCTCTTCTGTGTTGTACAGTCTGATGGTCAGCAGTCATACCCTTTTGCATGAATGGTTGCAACTGAATGAATCGAGTATTTTAGCTTATTCGCTCCAAAGAGACTAAACCCACCATCAGTAACTATTGACATACCAGGAAATATTCATATCTGAAGTTAGAGCTGGGAAAAAAACCTACTAAATCAATACCATTGATTTGGGCAGAGGATTAAGAGGATGCTTTGTGCCTAAGAACTTGTTAATAATATCCTTACCTATTTTCAATATAAAATATAAAGATTTGGTCATAGTACTGAGTAAAATGCAATTCTAACACCATTACTTAAATCTCATCTGATCTCCAGTCGAGAAAATTGGCTTGGGTTTCTCCTCAAGCTGGCAGCAAGACTTGAGATACTCATGATTTCCACATTGCTTAGAACTGTTGGTTCTTTGTGATAGGGATAAGCAGTTGTATTTTATTAAAAAATAACAATAGAGTGAGTAAGAAAATATTTCCCCCGCTTTTTCATTTGGATCTTCTATGATTCACTGTAGTGACAGCTCAGCTTCCAGGACCCAACGGCTACACAGGTGGAAAGATTATCTTCATCGACACTGAAAACACTTTGTATCTTTTGGACTGTTGAAAGCTACAGGTATGATGATGAACTGGAAAGACAGTTCGTTTTGTTATAAGCAAGTAGGAGGCTCAGGATAGCTTCATGCAGGTAAAACCTTAGGAGCTACATGGAAAGCCTGGAGAGCATAGTGTGAAACGGCCCACAAAGCAGTGACTTTTTTCTCTGTCACTTGGTGTAATCCAACCTGGAAAAATTAGAGTTAGGATACGGATTTTATTTTAATTGGGGTTTTCATGAGATCTAATATGCCTTCTTGATAACGACACAGGTGATAGAAGCTTTTCTATTTACTTCAAGAGAAATTAATCTAAATACTAAACACTATTTTTAACACGTCACATCTGTGGTAGACTGTGTATAAATAGGTTTTGTTCACAGCTAAATTCCTAGAGCACAGATATCCATATGTCAACTCCCTCCCCCCGCCGCCTCAAACCCTAAACACAAAATGATTACCACCGTGAGCCCTAAACTATCTTTAGGGTATGTGGGACAGTGTGAAGAGAAAAAGTCAGTCTTCTCTAGGACCAAAATAAACATTCTTCTTTGTTTTTTTCCATAGTTCTATTTTGGAAGGGAGTTTGTTTATTTTTAGAGCATGGTTTGTACAAAGAGAAATCCTTAACTTTGACTAATGTCAGCCGACCAGACCGTCTTCGTGACATTGCTGATCGCTTCAATGTTGACCACGATGCAGTACTGGACAACGTGCTGTATGCACGTGCATATACCAGTAAGACCATTATTGCAGCTGGCGTGATACTTGTATTTTTTCTCTAAGGCTCCTGTTTTAATGGTTCTCAGTTTATTAACTGATATTGCCCACTGAGGATCATAAAGAATGCTTTGCTGCTAACAAAAGAAGTCCTAAGCTTGCTTCTGTTTTTGTTTCTGGTGTTGTAGACTGACCAGACTTGCTCAGCGTAAGTATTCCAGCTCAGCTGCATGACATAAACTATTAATAAAGTTTTGCAGTTTGCCACACATCGAGTGAACTCTGCCATGTACACAATGAGCATCAGCGTAGCATCTTAGTAAGAGAAGCACCAATTAATGTAACCACGATTGCCTGAATGTAAGCTAATTGAGAAATTCTTGATGATCTTGTGAAGGGAACTTTACAGGGGCAGCTCCAACACACTCTGCCACAAGACATCGCATTAGAACTCCAAGGAAGTTTTAAACGGGATTTTTACTTTGCAAGTACAATATGAACATGAATAATACGATTACTACAATTTCTGTGTGTCATGTAATTGAACGTTAAATTCAGAAATTTATATTGCTCTTCAGTTTTTAACGCAACAAAAAAGTTCTCTTCCCGCACAGCTTTGTTGTGCAGCTTTTCACAAAGAAGTTTTGTTAGCTGGGCAAGTGGGAACTGGAGCCTGCTGAATTACAGGCACTGCTGGTTATTGCAGAGGTAGCTTTTTACTGGGCACTGGATTTAAAACTGCTGGCAGTGAAAAGATAAACAGTGCAGACGTTTAAAGTGGAATTTTAAAATTCAGGCTTTTGTTGCTTCAGAGCTCTTTCTGGTCCCAGTTTCACTTGGCAACTGTACTTCCCACCAGGTGAACATCAGATGGAATTGCTGGACTATGTAGCAGCCAAGTTCCATGAGGAAGCTGGTATCTTCAAGCTATTGGTAAAAGATTATTTTTTTATTATATGCTTGCTGCTTTCAGAATACGTTTTCCTATTTTCTTTCACCATATTTACTTATCTAGCACAATTACAATGCAGATCATTGACTCCATAATGGCACTTTTCCGTGTGGATTTCAGTGGTCGTGGAGAGTTGGCTGAACGACAACAAAAACTGGCTCAGATGCTGTCAAGGCTCCAAAAAATATCAGAAGGTAAGGGAAACATTGCAAGATTTGGAAAACGTGGACTGGAGTTGCTGAAACGGTAGCTGTTGGTAGCACAAGCACCTAGCAGTCTGAGTGTATCATCAGTCAGGCACTGGCCCAGGAATCTTTCCTGACCTCACACCTCTGTCAGTTACCAGAAAGATCAAACTGATGAATTGTTTCAGGATGGCAGATTAAGGAGCCTGTAGAACTATTAATCATTTAGAGTTTTCCTAGAAATACTGTTAAGAGTCTTAAGTCCTAAATGAAAGAATAGGTTGTAGAACTGGACAAATATCCAGGAGGAGAAATTGTCTTCCCCAAAATTTGACAGTCTAAATACATGAGAAATGTGAAGAACAGAAAAAAGGATGAAGCGCAGAGAAATAAAGAAGCCGTGCCCATTACCATGTTTCCAGAACTTAGCAATGCTCTGAGGGATGATGACAGGATGAACTGGGTCCCTCCTCTTTGGAATGTCTCAGAAATGTTGATGAGGAATGAGTAAATGATTTTTTTTTCTTAAAGAAAAAAAAAAAAAAAAAAAAAGTATAGACAAAGGGAGGGCGAGGGGGCTGAGAGCAGGGAGCCAACAGAAAAGATGGGAACTGAGGAAGACTTGCTCAGTGGAATTCTGAAAAGTGCTCATTTTTTGGCATAAGTATTACAGCTGAAGTCACACAGGAGCTGGCTCCTGATTAACTCCAGCCATCAGACATAAAGAATATTTGCTTCTCTTTAATCTGAAATCGGAAGTGCTTCAGCAGCGGCCTTGCTTTTAGCATGCATAGGAGAATATGTTGGAATTCTAACTGGACAGAGTCTGCCTTCTTTGCATTGTTTTCTATTGCAGAATATAACGTGGCTGTGTTTGTGACCAACCAGATGACTGCTGATCCAGGAGCAACTATGACGTAAGATGCTTTTTCTCTCTCTTATTAAAAGAAAATTATTCTCTTTTATATTACATATGTAACAGCGATGAGGACTGAGATTGTATGGAGCCAGAGGCACCAAAATGAGGGTTCAGACTGGACACTGGTCCCTCTGGTATGATGAATCATTCGTGGATGACACCTATAGGTTTCTCTCAGTTTTAGTAATGAGGTTTTTTTTATGTTTATCTGCTGCCTGGCATGATGGCTTTTTTCACTGTGACTTGAACAAAGAGAACAAGCCATAAAAAGTATTCAAAAAGCAACCCATTTTGTTTTGGAACAGCTTATGTATGAAGTTTAAGGGGTGTATTTCTTGAGCCTCTTGAATTTAATGAGAGGAAAATTATGCCCACATCAAACATTTGAACATCCTATCTTGAGGCAAGCGTGTTAAAGCCCTTTTTTGATATATTTACCTATTTATTATTCATTACTGAGTTCAGTGTGCCTCATCTGACAGTTAATCGTGGTTTTAACCTATGGAATTTGCACAGTGAATCATCACAATTTTCTTGCTAATTTAGCTTTCAGGCAGACCCAAAAAAGCCCATTGGGGGCCACATCCTTGCTCACGCTTCGACTACCAGGATCAGTTTGAGGAAAGGGAGAGGGGAGCTGCGTATTGCAAAGATATATGACAGGTAAGTCACTTTTCCTTCACAGGAAGGAAGCTGTGTTACAAGCAACCCTGAGGTGACAAAGTTCATGGGACTGAAACTTAATAATTTGACAACTGATTCATGGTTTCAAACTAACCACGTTTCTGGAGGGTAAACAGAGAGAAAAAAATGAAAGGACAAACTAATTAATGGACTTGAAGTTGTCTTGCATATCACCTACATTAAATTACATAATCTTTCAACATAAATCCTCCTAGATGCTCATCTCTTAAAGAAGACCATCAAATAGTTTGGTAAGATTGGTGGTTTCCTGGCAGGAAAATGCCAGAGCTGTTAACTTACTAAGCTTTCCTGACACAGTATCACTCTACCAGGTAAGCTGTGGCAGACGCCAAGTCATTAGAAATCATACTAGTGGAACCACATGGGGAGACTACTGTTTCTGGTCAGGAACTCAGAAATTGAACTGAGGGTTTGCACAGGCAGAATCTTTCCCTTTCTTGCACCTTCCCCATTCCCCTCTTTTGTGTTTGTCATCTTCCAAGAGGTGGATTTCACATTTTCTGATCTTGATAATATCGATCACGTCCTACAGTTTGCACATAGGTATAAAGATGTCGAAGTGTTCCGGTTGCTTACGCTTACAACATTTTGGGGACTGTTTCACGACTGCATTTAACATGGGGAAACCCACAAGTTCCTAGTTTCTTTTTTTTTTTTTTCCCCAGCCCTGAGATGCCTGAAAACGAAGCCACGTTTGCGATAACTGCTGGAGGGATCGGGGATGCCAAAGAATAGGCAGAAAAACCGATGTAAATGTACAGCAGAAAACCACCTGGGCAGTTGGGATGAGGATTTGTGCAAGGTCACCGACTGCCTGGCTGCGTTTTTATCTTTTGGGAACTGTTTGAGCTATTTTGGGAGAACATTGGGATGAACTCTGTACAGTTAAGTTTTGTTCATCTTAATAGAATTTGGATCATTTAGGGTCTTCATTTTTCAATTGAGCTTTTAGCAAAGATTTAAGAAATAAGCTTGAATTGTTCAAAGAATCCTTTTCCTATATTTTGTGAAAATCAAAGCTGTCCTTTCACATGAGACTAATATACTCTTTTTTAGTTCTTTCAAAGAGAGTGCCTATCTGGTAGAATTTAATAGTGCAAAATGGAACAGAGTTGAAATAAACTCAGCTATAAAATTGACGTAACTAGATGGAAAAGGCAGTGCCAGGAGGAACAGCCCAAGAACTTGATGGACTCTCGTGTACCATACACGAACAAGTTACTTTAAAAATAGGGGTTTAGGCATTTTTATCTTGACTAGGGAAGTTTTTTATTTTTATTTAGCATTTTCTACTTTTTGGAGAGAATGTTTTAAAACTGTTAAGTTAAAAATAAAGATTATGAATTAGAGCAGCCCTCTGCTTATGTTTGGGTGCTTTGAATCAAACCCTGCTCTCAATAATCTCACTGATCTTTCACGAGAGAAATAAACTGGATGCGACCCAACATTTTAAAACCTTTTGTCTTGTTCTCTAAAGAAACAAACTGTATATAATTGCCCTGTCGGTCTCCTAACGTAATAATATTAAGGATTATTATTAAGTAGTATTAGATTGTTATTTAAAAGCTGAAGAAAACAAAACCAGTGGCTAGATAGGGCAGAGAGGCTGACACCAGTATGTACACCGAGGGAAAGGCACTTACGACTCGGCTTGGGAGAGCGTGCCCGCAGGCCGCCAGGACAGGCATAGCTCCAAATGCGCCGGAGATGTACGTCACGGGGGGCAAATGAAGGAGCCAGAAATAAAGAGGGAAATGGGGGATCAGGGGACAAAATACCAGTTCTGTTTGCATTACCTCCAATGCTCATGGAATTGCTTGTTTTAAAATAAATTCAACAATTTATACATTAGATGCTTTAAGGGAAGGCCTTACTTTGTCCTCCCGTATAAAAATGCCAACTAGAATGGGTCTAACTTTGGTGTGTAGTTAGACAGCTCATCCTCACTGATACAAGAATTTTTTTCATTTAGATTAACTAATGCACGTAAGATAACATGAAGTAAAAAGGCAGCAATGACCAGAAATTCATTCAAGAAAGCCTGACACCGTAGCCAGGGTTTACCTTGTGACAGAGCTAGGCAGTCTGCCTTCCTTGAGTGGTTTCTTAATGCATCTTTGATATTTTCCCTGAGGTAAAGCACTGTTTTTCACAGTGGAGGGAAGTCTAGAGAGACAAAGGCAGGGAGGTTGGCTGATCTAAGAGAGCACCAGGAATGGATCAGCCATTGTTATTTCATATAACACCTAGGTCTTTGCACGTACCCGTCTTTCCCACTCCAGGCATTCATATCTAATGGCCATCTACCCAGTGTCGGTGAGAGCCTACGGTGCCGCTTGACTTCCCCCCGGCCCACTTAGAAAGGCCCAAGTTTCTTCCAATACTTTAAGCACCAAGGCTGCTTTTTGCTTTCTTGCATACATGCACAGAGCAAGTAAAACTAAAATGGTAAAAAATTTCCCTCTCGTTCCAGGCTGTTATTTGTTTCAAGGGACTGAAGCAGAGGGGACTCACTTTCTCCTCTGCCAGCATAACCGGTTTTTGATGATCTGACAGCCCCGATAGCGCGACTGCGGCTTGGGCCAAGGCCGGGTTTGGCTGGCGCAGAGAGCTACTTGTCGGCAGGCGCTCTAAGCGTACGCACAGCACAGAATAACTTACGGCCTGTGCCATGTCATTACCTCACGGCTTACTTTATCTTTTAAACTAGGGGTCTCGGGTTGATCGGTGGAGTCGAACACTAGCGGGTGTCTGTGCCGCTCCCGGTGTCCTTCGAGTACTTCAGAACATTCGATTGCCATGCAGTAACACCACAGCAGGCCAAGGGGTGAATCATAGAATGTTTTGGGTTGGAAGGGACCCCTAGAGGTCATCTAGTCCAACTCCCCCGCAGAAGCAGGGACACCGCTAACTAGATCAGGCTGCTCAGAGCCCCGTCCAACCTGGCCTTGAATGTTTCCAGGGATGGG